GGGTCTCGAACCCATGGGCTCAGGCAATTCACTCACCTCAGCCTCCCAAAGGCACGGGATTACAGGCTGAGCCACCAAGCCCGGCTTCGTATGTCTTCTTTTGAGAAGTGTCTATTCATGTCCTCTGCCCATTTTTTAATAGGACTATTTGGTTTTGTTTTTCCTTTCAGTTCATTTGAGTTCCTTATAGATCCTGATGTTAGACCTTTGTTACATGCATAATTTGCAAATATTTTTTTCCCATTTTGTGAACTGTCTCTTTATTCTCTTGATGGTTTCTTTTGCTATGCAAAAGCTTTTCAGTTTGATGGGGTCCCGTTTGTCTCTCTTATCTTTTATGGCACATGCTTTTGGGGATTTGATCAAGAATTCATTACCTACTCCACTATGCACAAGGATGTCTCTTTTGTTTTCTTCTAAGATTTTTATAGTTTGAGGTTTTACGTTTAGGTCTTTGACCCATTTTGAGTTGATTTTTGTATATGGCGATAGGGGTCTTAATTCATTCTTCTGCATGTGGTCAGTCAGTTTTCCCAGCACCATTTGCTGAATAAGGTCAGTCTCATCTCCCCAGTGGTTGTTACTGATGTCTTTGTTAAAGATGAGTTGGTTGAGAGCTTGAGTTTTTGCTTCCAGAATCTCTGTCCTGTTCCATTGGTCTATATGCCTGTTCTTGTACCAGTACCAGGTTTTGATTATTGTAGCCCTATGGTAAAGTTTAAAGTCTGGAGGTGCAATACTTCCCTCTTTGTTCTTCTTGGTAAGGATTGTTTTGGCTATTCAAGCTCTTTTTGCTGCCATATGAATTTCTGTATTGTCATTTCCAGGTCTGAGAAGAATATTGGTAATTTTATGAGAATTGTGTTGAATCTGTAAATTGCCTTGGGTAGGATAGACATCTTTCAGAGAAATGCAAATCAAAACCACAGTGAGATACCATCTTACCCTAGTAAGGATGACCATAATTAATTAATCAAAAAATAATAGATGCTGGCATGGAGTAAAGGGGGTGCTTCTACACTGTTGGTGGGAGTGTAAACCAGTTCGACCTCCATGGAAAATAGTATGGTGCTATCTAAAGGAACTAGAAATTGACCTTCCATATGATCTAGGAAGCCCCCTCCTGGGAATTTACCTGGAGAAATACAGATCATTCTACAAAAAAGACACCTTCGCATGCATGTTTATTGCTGCATTATTCACAATAGCAAAAAAACGGAACCAACCCCACTGCCTATCAAAAATAGACTGGATAAAGAAAATGTGGTACATATACACAATGGAGCATTACACAGCCATAAAGAAGGACAAAATCATGGATGTCTCAGCAAAGTAGATGGAATTGGAGGTAATCATTCTTAGTGACCTATCACAGAAACAACCAAACACCACATGTTCTCACTCATAAGAGGAACCTGAACATTAACCACAATAACACAAGGGAGGGATCGGCAGTTGTGGAACACAGTGGTCGTGCGGGGGACACGTAACAACACAAAGGGCATCTGATCTTAAACCAGGGGAAGTGAGGACCAGTTGGAGGCCCAAACTTCACTTTCACATACATTACATATATACCTAATCCTGACTTGTACCCCACATCTATATAATAAAATAAAGTTTTAAAAGTTTTCCTTTTTCAGGCAGATGCATTGTTCTTTTAGTTCTTGTTTCTCAACTTGTGAAGCATGGCCTTTTGGGGCAGTGATAAGCAGACAAAAAGACATCTCACAGGGAGTGACAGGTGAGAGACTTAGTGGCCCTTTGTTTCTGTGGGTAGAAGAGATCTTATCAAGTCCACCTTAGTCAAACTTCCTTGTCCTAATAGTAACCTGTCGGTTCTTCTGCATCTTGACAATCAACCAGCAATTATTTTGAGGTTTGTTCTTTCACTTTCATAACTCAGAACTTCAGCTCCAAATACTAGCTTCCCAAACTTAAAGCAGCTGATTTTCTTTTCCTGATTCAAGAATAGCATAAATATTTCTCCAAACTCTTTTTGGCGTCGATGGATTTTTTTTTTTTTAAAGAAATTGGTCTTTCTTGTTGCCCATGCTGGCCTCAACCTGCTGGGCTCAAGCTATCTTCCTGCTTCATTCTCTAGAAGCTAGAGCTATAGGTATGCAACCACTCCCAGCTGGATTTCTTTGGAAATTTTGTTTCAAAGGAACGCTAGCTGGAGTCCACAAAAATGTATGAAAACCACTCTTTTCTTCTGTATTTAGTGATAGAAGGAATTCAGAGCCACTGTAAACAAAAAATTGATTATTAGGCAAAATGTTTTACATGCAATCATGTAATAATAATGTTTTATATTTTTTAAATGGTTTATGGATCATGAGGAACATGATCTTACAGCCTAATTTAATATAGTCCTGCATTGATTAAATTAAGGAGACTTGAGCATCATCGTTTTTAAAAATTCATTTTTAATCACATACTAGTTGGCCTATGAAATTAGTTGACTTGTCAACCAATGTGTTTCATAAACTAAAGTATCAGTAAAAGTATTTGATGATAAGCTAAGAATATTCCAGAAGTACTAAAATTAACTTGTGAAGTTCCCTGTCTAGCCTTACTCTATCAATTACTTGTCTTTTTTTCATTTTTTTCTTATGTTCTATTCACTTTAACTTCTAAGATAAATATTGCAAAATAATTTTTACTTATAAATTATTCACTGATACCTTGTCTTTAACATGTCAGATGAATTCAAAAGGAATCTTAATGAGGGATAATATATTCACGAATTTATATAGATTTGATTACAAAATAATAAAACATCTGAAGTTCTAAGTTAAAAATAGAGCACTGTGTTTGATCATTTCTCATCAAGAATGTATCTGAGCCTCTGAATAATCATTCGTAGGAATATTCAATTATCACAATTACATAGTAAGCTATTTAGTCTAATGTTACCAAAGAGGAACTTCTTCAACATTGTTTGAGACTTTTAATGAGTTTTCATTGGATATGTATTATTTGCAGGACAACCTATTCTACAGAAGCATTTTTAACCTTTCAGTTAATTTAAAAGGCAGCTAAGACACAATAGTTAATGTAGTGGTTTGATATACTTGTATTGCATGTAGATCATAGAAATACAAAAAGGATTGGTGAATATATTTTGATTCAGAGCTACTTGCAATTAAGAGAGCTAGGTTGCTACCAAATAACAGATTTTATCAACCTGTGTTTGTTGAAAGTACAGTATTTAAGAGAGAAACTTGGTTAATCCTCATGTGATATTTAATTTGTTTATTCTTTCACTTATCAATATCAATAGTGCTAGGAGCCTGGGCTACAAAAATGAAAGGCAAGGCAAATCTTTCTTCAAGGAGATTTCAGTCAGGGAGAAAACTATCAAACAAGTAAATAAAAAACCCTAATCACTAAAAT